TGGCTTGACCATACAGTTAAAAATAATTCTTGTACACATTCCCATTGTGACAAACACAACAACACACGTGTTTACGTCGAGTCCCTTTTCCTTGGATCAAAGCAACAACAAGTGGCGGACAAAAAGCCAAAGGTTCCTTGTGTTTCTCCTTTATAATATTGCAAAACTAACAAAGTGATTCTTTTAGTTAATTTCAAACTTTTCGAGAATCTAAATTTTCATAAGAACATAATTTATTAGTAATTTAAATGTTCAGTAATTTAGTGTAAGCCTTTCTAAGGCAACTCGACTACTTAGAACTACTTTAGTTTTATAAAGTTGATAAGTTATTTTGACCTCAGTATTTTAATTATTGTGTTTTTATGGAGTCTGTAATGAGATAATCTTGTTCATGTTGGAACGTTGTATATACTATAATTAGGCTTATGTCGATGCTTGTGTAAATTCCTATTCTCAATATCATTATTCATAATAATGTTATGTATTTATGTTGTGCGCATATTGGCCCATGATATCGTATAAAACAAAAAAAAAAAGAAATTGAATTGAATTGAAAATTTTAAAAATATTGTTTGAGCAGTATAATACAAGCAAAACAATAATACTATTTTGAAGGGGTTGCATTTCTGCATATAGGCTAAACTTAGGAATAGGAACGTTTTCAGAATGAAAATAAACGTAACAAAATCAATTGTGTTTACAAAATGATAGGAAAGTGGTAAAGTCACGGATAAATATGAAATAACCTGATGTTAATTGTTAAATCGCCGATGCTAGTAATACTTTGAAAGATTTATCTCAATTTAGAGGAGTTTAAAAATTAGATTCCATCTGTCTTGGTCGAATAGTGTAAATTGAATGTTGGGTTGGCTTCAATGTCTTACTGACTTTCAAACACAAAAACTGGACAAACCATTTTATTATAAGCTCGCCGTCTATTAATTACAGCGTAGTAAAAAAAAAACGACAACCTATTTTACCTCAGCCTCAATGTACTTATTTTTTCCTTATAATTTAAGCAATTCAGCCTCACGGTTCTGATAAAATGTGTTCTAAAGGTGTATATGCTTTTGTTTCTAAATTATATACACGATGATTTATGCGGCTGCGTAGGTGGTGAGAAACGGGCCCCAGTGCAAGATTATTGCCGGGCCCTTTGATATGAAGTCATTTTTAATTATTATATTTAGATCTTTTTATGAATGGGCCCCTAAATGGCTGCACTCAAGGGCGCAGATCTGTTTTTGAAGGTTGGGGTGGGGGGTGGGGCATTCCGTGAGACTACACCCACCATGGTTGGTGCTGAGGCGCGAAGTTTTGTGGAAACAGTACTCTCTATGACCTGAAATGACACTCTTATAAACATTCATCATATCACACTTATAGTCAAAATGAAGCTTCATTGTTTTTGATGTAATTACTATTCTTTACCTAATTCATGTGCCGAAAACCAATACTATCTTTACACTTTTTTTTCTCTCATACTTCTAAAATTATAATAAAGGCATGCGCACTCAAGTCGTGTCTAGGTAATTTTTTATATTTGTGGGCAAAGATACCGGTATCTTGCTATAAAAAGAAAGATGTAGCCCTGTATGCCTACAGGGCTCTTTCGTTAAAACCTGGGTCATTTATGCAGTTCATTTCAACAATTTTCAGGCATAATTTTTGACTTAGGATAGGATAGTCAGACGCTATTTTCAATCGAGCTCTTGTGAGATCTGTTCCAGCAAGCTCTCAATTATGGGAGCTTCAAAGTGGTGGAGAACGGAACGATGAAAAGGGTTCCTGTGCGTTTATTTTCATTTTTGGGTAGGCCAACTGTTCGGATTTTATGATGTGATTCCATTTTTCAAGTTATTTTATGTGTAAGGCGATTAGAAGCATAGTTTTGTATTAAGCGCTCTATAAGACTATTATTATTATTATTATTATTATTATTATTATTATTATTATTATTAAATAATAATAATGATATTATGAGATCACAGTGCCGCCGAAAAGTGGTGGTTGGGCAAGGTAAAATTTAAGGGGGAAATATGCTGGGATGGCCTGAAGTGGGAGTGGTCGAGAGTCGCTTAAAATGTCTTGAAAGTGGTCCAGGGGCGAAACCCCTCGAAAAATATGACAATTTAGGAGTTTCAGAGATTTATTTAATTGATATTATAGATAGATAGTCTACAAATATGTAGAAAATACATAACATTTTTTTCTCCCCGAGAAATTGTGGTTTTTCTTCTTTTTTAGCGGGGGGGGGGGGGGGGGGGGGGGGGCACAATAGGGAAAAGAAAATTATCTGTGTAAGTGCCCCCCCCCCCCCGCTGGCGCCGCCACTGAGTGTCGGGGGGAAATGCTATGCATGCGTCAAAACCCACCTCAGTCTCATGGTTGGGGCTGAGGTAAAAAAAATGCATGTAGGAGGCGACTCTAGATGGTAAACCTAATTTGTTATAATTGTTATAAACAAAAGATATTAATGTTTTTGGTGGTCCCTCCCCTCACACACACACACACACACACTGTAAGCTGCAGTTTTTATTTGTTGGCCGTAAAACATTTAGAACGTCAGATTGATGTTGTTGGTTTTTTTTTCTTCTTTTAATTTGTAAGTTTCGGCGAAATTGCTCCAATTCGGCAACTGGTATTTCGGCCCTCTTGGCTGGACCTTTCCCTGAATCCGTCGGAGTCTCTTCGGGGCCCCTATGTCAGGGATCCGCTGATGTGGACCTGGCGCACGAAATCACGTCAGGCGCGCGCATCTGCTGCCTGTGTGGTAAAATGACAAAAACAAAAAATATCCCCTCCTACCTTGCACTATATTACGGTAACCGGGCCGAGGGAGAGAACATGTTGGGGGGTTGGGGGTTGGGGGAATGTAAGTATCACTAGAAAATACCCATATAAAGACGGTCAGGTAGTTAATGCATGGTTTGGTTGCTTTAAGTGTCACTTAGCTACCACAAATTATTTTGTTCTGAAATTTGATGCGGCCAATCTGAATAAAATGACCATTGTTCAATTCAAGGCCATAATCGATGATATAGGCCTTTATCCAAATCCGAATTTGTAGGCATATATACATTGTTTTAATCGATTTTTAACATGTTATGTGTAACGTCTATACGTAAATAGGCCTATGATGGGTAATCATTTGTTTAATTCTTTATTTATTGCCATGTTTTAGGGTGGAGACGGATTATTGGAGGGTGGGTGAAGATGGAGCTAAGAGGGTGAAGAACAGGATATATAACATTCTGTTAAGATGTACTGCGACATTCTGCAAGGGGTTAGAATACGAACCGCTGCCATCTACAAAGAAATGACACGATAATTGTAAGATGGTGTGAGACTCGGCTTTTGTTTTAATGTATTAAAGTAATTTATACACTGTTAAAACATTCTAAGAATCGAAGAAATTTTCAACTTTCTTTGAGACAAAACATAATACTCTAAATTCCTTAAAAAATCGTTAAATACGAGCCATTTAATAAAATGTAATACATAAATTATCCAATAATGGTATGATTCATGTTCAGTATATGCTGTCATGAAATTTGTAACATTTAGTATTTGTATGCCATTTTGTGTGTTTACTATTTAAAAAAAAACGTATAAACTTCTAGCTCCTAAAAATCGTTTACTTAAAAAATTCCTGTGGGGGCACGTCGGGTTTCAGTCACATACTCAACGATTTGTTGTGACAATGAACGAGCAAACCGCGCGTGGTTGGTGGGTTGTTTTTGTCGGAAAAATATTCTCGGTGAATTGATTCTCGAATGAGATAACGAAATCTCTCTAATGACTCAAGCTACTACATGACCGTTTTTGTATTTTTAATAAAACCAATTCTTCTAATTTCAAATACATTTTCCCCCGAATTCGTGATAATTCGTAATCACGCATAACTTGTGCTAAATGCGACAAATTTTCACGTTGACCAATGCGTATTTTCATACATTTAAGAAGAAATTAAAAACCCACCTTCTTTAAAGTTTATCTTTTTACAATAATTGTAGTTTTAGAGTTTTTAAGTGTTCTAGAGTACTTAATTTAGTGTTTTAGAGTATTTAAGTGTTCCTTAAAGTCGCAACTCCCTTACTTGAGCCGGCGTTGCCACCTTAGCAGTGCACGGTAGTAGAGCCGAGGCTTATCCAAGGTGGAACCTACCGGAGCCCAGCATACTGTCGCCGGAGTACCTGCGTGTAGTGGTGGTGTCGCCGTCTCAACAACAGGAGTGTGCTTTTTCGTGCTGCTGTTTGGTTTTTTCCTTCCTTGGTCTGCCTGTTTTTGAAGGCTTTTTTTTTTTTACTTATTTTTATTTATTTATTTATTTGTTATAATTTTATATTTGTTTACTTATTAATATATTTATTTAAATTATTTATTTATTTATTTTTATTTATTTAACTTATAACAAATATAAAAAAAAATATTCTAATTAATATAGGCTAATTAATTTAAGATATAATATAATTTTATTTTTTTATAATTTATGGTCCTACCTTTTCTTCGGCGCCTTGAGACGATTTTATTGTGGAAGGCGCCGCACTACAAATATCCCACCATTATCATTACCATTATTTGCAAAATGCGTGTTTCATCCAAAATCACTTTGAACCGTCCCGCACGATGCGAGACGGTTAGTAACTATGTTAAAAAAGAAAAAAAAATTATTTTTTTTAAATTTTTAACTTTTTTCCTCTTGTTGTTTGTCAATGGTACGTGTGTGTTCTTTTATATTCTTTGTTTTGATTTTCGTTGGGATCCCGTTATATGAGCCATCGTTATTAGTTAGTCTCTGGCGTGAAATACATTTTCATGTTTAGTTTTGAATAGAAAGCTTAAACCTGAATATAAAAAGCAGGCTAAGAAATTAAAAAAAATATTGAATGTACAGACTCCTGCATTTTTTTTTATGAAACTTTTCTGCGACAACAGTCTGGTTCATGAAGTCTACATACAGAAGTTGAGAGACTTTCTTACAAAGGTCAGAGGTGACATAATGTGTAAGTGGGCGAAAGAAGTGTTTTGATTTTTCCTTTTATATAAATTCCACTGTTATGAGCTGGAAGTTTCAAAATGATTTGAACACATATTTATGTAAAGATGGATAATTCTAGTTCAGAGAGAAGTCCATCTTATACCGACAGTTCTCCAGGATCATTTGGTCAAATGAAATTTTGGGAAAGCGATGTCTCAAACACAACGAGCCATCGTCGTAAACCAACGTACCCATTGTTCGGTCTTGGTAAGTAAAGTTCCGACTATAATCCATAGATAGGCCTAGGCTGGCCTAGCACAGACCGAGACAGGCCTAGACTAAGTTTAATAATACTTTAGAATATATTAAAATGGTCATAATTTAATATAGAGGAATGATTGAATCAATTATGAAATTATTATTAGACCAAGAAATTAAACTTAAAGCCCCATTCCCGGCAAAATTTCACTAAAAAAAACCAAGATTTTTTTTTTTTTGAAAAGATGCATGCATTACTCTAATTATTATAAATCATGGAAAAATATTGTCATAATTTTTACTTTAATGATAATAATATTATGAACTCACTATGAAAATATAATAGTTACTGTATTAAAAATTATTATCATTATTATTGATCCTGCTAATTTTAAACTGAAACTAATAATCTTCTGTCAGTTGGATTGCCAACAAAAACTGTGTTTAATTATTATATGAAAAATACATAATTTATTAATTTGTAAGATTAAGCTTAATAATTTCCAAACAACATTTCAATTAAATACAAAGTTATTTGGTCTTTGTTACTCCAGTTGTCATTGTCACAAATTTAGTACTAATATACCATATATATATATATATATATATATGAAGTGCTTAGAATCCTTGATGGCATGAAGTACTATTATAAGTCTTAACATATTATACTTGTATGATGTTGGTGAAATTTTTTTTTTTTTCCTGCTAAGTGATATTTGGAAGCCTCAATGAAAAGGTTCATTGACATACATAACTCACCCCATACATTTTGGTTGGTAAAATGGAAACTGCAGCCCTCAAGCTTGAGAAGTGACCTTTTGAAATGTACAAGAATTTTAGGCTGCTGCTTCGTAAAAAAAAAAAACCCACTGTACCTAGTTTTTGTGATTCATGATTGCATTATTTGTTTTTCCAGTTGTCATGGATACAACAGATTTTATCCAATCCGGACGTGTTCTGCTTTGCTGATTATCCATTCCATGGGGTTGTTGTGGAAATATTGAAGGCTCTTCCAGAGGAGGACAACCGAGAAATTGCTAATTGGTAAGTTAGGCAAAATAGATACATTTACCTTTGACCCATCTTCATTCTTTAAAATTATGCTAGTTAATTTAATTTCATTGGATTCTCAGGAATTAAACTTAAAGCCCCATTCCCGGCAAAATTTCACAAAAAAAAAACCAAGATTTTTTTTTTTTTGAAAAGATGCATGCATTACTCTAATTATTATAAATCATGGAAAAATATTGTCATAATTTTTACTTTTACGCAAAAGAATAAAAAAAAAAGGAGAAATACAGACTATTTCTCATAGAATATTACCATTTTCTCGATTAATTCTTCGTTACTAGGCAAATTCAGAGGTTGTAGATCGCATCTGCTGGAATACTCTCGCTTTTACAGTATGTATACTTTATATAGTCAATAAAGTGCACCCTTTCTAATGGGATTAGTTTTTGTATTTCGCTTCTCGCACAATGCGGTCAATCGGGTAGGCCTGAGATAATGTTTGTTTAAGTGTTTAAAATCTCGGTCAGAATCAGTTCTTTAATAAATTTGAAATAATTCCTATGAAATATTATATTTCACAAGTGTCAATACTAGACACAGAAAATATCATGTTGGCCATTTTTATGTGTGATAACAGAACCTAAATGGAGGTAAGGCTAGGCCTAGCCTGGCAGTGTTGGATAGGTTAATCTTTTCGACGCCTACTATATTTCTTCGCAGACCTGTCACAAAATCAAACATGAAAAATTCATCTGCATTTATTTTTTGTATGGAACACAAAAAAAAATCAAATTTCAGTTTTTTTTACATTTTCTTCATGCTTAGGAATGTCTAAATTCAGTTAAACAAGCAATTCCGTACTATATTTATAAATCTTTATTGAACATTATACAAAAATTAGATTTTTCTTTAACAACGAAATTTTGCCGGGAATGGGGCTTTTTAAATTTAGGCCTTGATGAAATGAATTTAGTGTATCTTTGCAGCTGACAGTGACGAAAGAGAATGAAACTATCTCCTTATATTTATATTAATATTAATGGTCTAGGCCTATCTACTAAATATTTCCTGCCTTTATATAAATCATCTTCAGATTTACCATTTTGTTGTAAAAGCAGCTGAATTCAATGTTCAATTATATTAAATTCAATTCCTTGTTTACATCATAAAATAAAGAAAACTAAAACTGTAAAAAAGTAATATCAAACAGACATTGAACGAAAGAGGTTAGGCCTATTGTTATATTTGTTTATATGTTTTGCTTATTAGGTTTATGGGTTATTTTTCTGGAGTTTCTTGCTTGCTCGCTCGTGTACAGTAAGTGGGAATGTCATCCTGATTTCCAGGAGACTTCCACGTCTGACACGAGACTTGGAACCTCTGTTGTACTTCATGTATGATTGTTAAAAATCCATACAACTATATTCTCTATAATTTCAAATTTCATTTATTCCTATCTTTAAATCAGATTTCTTGAAACTGGTTAGTTTTGTTTTTTCAAGTAAATTTGATTATAAGAATTTTTAATGTAGGGTCAAGTGCTTACCATTATCATATTTTTTTGATATTGTGAATTTGTGTTCAGCCCCCAGTCGGCATAATAATCATGAAATGTGTATGAATTTAAGTGAACCATGAGTATCTACTAATGGTACATACAATCAGTCTATGTCAGTCTAAACTTTAAGAAAGAAAGAAAGTGGAGTTTGGAGCATTGAAAGGCAACATGTGAACTGTATGCTGAGCTGCACCCATCCATGACGCCTGATGGAATGTGTTAAGCAACACGCAAACACATTACACACTGTTGGACATAAAACTACAGCACTCTATTTTTGAAATTGTACAATATAATGCACCTTAAAAAGTATAGATAATAAGTGTAAACATTTTGATGTTCATAATATCCAGTGAACTCTGATTGATTTAAGAATGTACTGCTTGGGGAATAAATCTTTGGAACTTACTTAATTTCTGTTAACACACTATAAGCTCAAATCAGGTTTTTTAATTAAAAGTATATAGAAAAAATAATGACTATTTTGTTAGGCCTACTTGGTGTTTCCTTAGACCAAGTTTGAAGACCATTCAAGGACTGAAATTAATGTATAGCATGTTGGTTGATATTTTCAAGTTTATTTTATTACAGTAGCTTTAACCAAGCAGGTAACTTATAAAGGAAGAAAAATATTTCTCAGGATGGGTCACTAAAATTTATCCATGCATCCGGATTAACTTTTACCTCTACTGACATACCAAACATGCTGTTGCGACTTGCTAATTATGTACTTGTTTTTAAAACATACAGTAAGAGGCAGTGTTAATGGGTTTCTATTTTATTGATTTGGTATATGCACCTAAATTATGGAATTCTTTACCGTTATCTATTTGTGGCTTGCCACCCATTGCTATTTTTAAATCTCAATTAAGGATGTGCCTGAGTCCTGGGATGGCTGAGACACGATTCTGGACAGGGTACATTTTGATAGATGGTATGTTTCCACTAACTTTTTGTACCAATGTTTTTATTTTGATGTGTGTTTGCGTCAGGAAATATAGGAGTAGTGTTTTTGCCCTACCTGACATGTTGACTTACTGTACCAAATACTCTGTACTAAACAAATCAGGAATTGAACCCACAACCTTCAGTAACTTTCCTGGTGTCATTGCTACTACAGTACTAGAGTAGTGTTAGTGACTAGTGTTGAATCTGATCCCCAAATGTCGGCAGTACTGCAATTTGAATAGCATTTTTACTAAGTAAGCGCTGCACGTTGGGAATTGGATTCAACAATAGTCACTAAGCGCAAGCTCGGTGGTCCAGTGGTTATGATGCCATGCTAGTTATCTGGAGGTTGTGGGTTTGATTCCCACCCGAATCTTTACAAATTTTTTTTCCCAAGTTTTTGGGAACGTAAATTTAGTATTCGGTACCAAAACACGTCTGGTAGGGCAAAAATACCACTCCTATAGTAAAATTTGTTTCCATTTTTTGTGTGAGTAACCTACAATTTTTTAAATATTAAATACATCACTCTTAAATCTTATACAATAACTAAACTGTACAGGTATTTACATAAATTTTCACAACAGTTTTTTATTCATTACAATATTAAACAATGCTGTGTTCAGTTTAGGAAGAAAACCTCAACCTTGGTGGTCTTGTGCCAAGAAATCTCTGCCTGTACTGTACAGTAGATGAAATTGCAACATGTGATTCATATTCTTGGTGGTTTTTTTTGAAAGACTTAAATTTTATAAATAATAATTGTATAGTTTAATTCAGTTTCTCATTGATCATAATCAGATAATAGGCAAATTAAAAAATATATGTACTTGTTTAGCAACACCACATCCCAGATTTTTTAATTGCATTCAACAGGGTCAGTGAGTGAATCCCTGGTAGGAGCACAGAAAATCTTGTCTGTTTTGAGCCATTACTGTATTGTAAATTAAAGTTTTACAATTAAAAAGAGTTAATGGGGAAGGCAGTTCGATGCAGCATTTTCCATTCATTCAGGTTCTATAACTTCTTAAAGTTTGAACCATGTGTGCTGTTCTCGACCAGCAGTGCTCAGATATGCTGGCTTGCACTGTTGACTTGTTATAAAGTGTTTCTTGTATTATTATATATATATGTATATATATATATATATGTATATATATATAAATGTGTATATATACACGCTTAGAAGCATCCAGAGGGGGAAACTAAAACAATGAAGGCGAAAGTAGTGTCGCTAAGGGGAAACTAAAGCGACGTTAAGGCGAAATCATAGAGAAAAGAGTTTCCCCCAAGAGCCGAATAAAGGTAGTATACATACATACACACATACATATATACATACATACTCTACATACATACATACATACACACACACACACACATGTATATATATATATATATATATATATATACATACACACACTGTAAAAAAATATGCACTGTGTGTTGTGGCTACGTTTCCTCAATAATAATACTAACATCTTGCATTTTT